TCTTCGCGATTATTAAATGGCTAGTTCTAATGTTCATCGTTTCCCGTTTTTTAGCGGTGCAATCTACGTGTTTTTAGCGCATTTTCTATTAGTTCTTTATTTTATGAGTCGCGCAGGCGCTGTGCGCGCAATGTTCGTTGGCAACGGCAACGGTAGCATATGCTATAGGTTCTCGCGGCACGTATTATATCATTTGCTATACTGTGCGCTCGCGTTTGCTTGGTAAACGGCTGGAGTGCTATAGTGTAGCGCGCCGGACGTTACAGTAGGAATAAGCGGAATTTCGAAGGAACACTGGGATAAACGAGTGAGAATGTTGCCCGGTGATGACATTTCTAATTTCGTCGGGATCGAAATATTTGGGCCCGATCGTAAAGGTGCCCTCAGGGGGAAGTTCGGTAGAGCGTGGGAATCGTTTTATGAATGACTAAAATGAGTCACTGTCTTGTATAAGGAAGTAGGATCTTGGTGGTGGAGGAGGAATTTCTTCTAGGAATTCCACGCTATCCGTGGAGCTTGAATTTCTCTAGGAGAAACTGGGATCGAAATGATGAATCGGGTGTGGATGAAGGGGTATCTAAGAAGATTCTTAAGATCAAGACGTCTGATAACGCGGGAGAACCAGGTACTTGGGCAGGGGATAGTACACGGGGAGGTGGAGAGGGTAAGCGGGAAGGTGACCGGGGACCCGCTACTATAAGCAACGCCCGAACTTGGAGACTGCGATCCTGCTGATGCCTGCGGAGCCGGTGGTGAAGATGGTGAACGTCCGCAGCAAGGTCTGCTGGATTTTGAAAATTGTTCGAGTTCTCAAAGAACTCGGCGTATGCCTCATCCAGAAGTCTCCAAATAAGCCCGACTCCGAGGCCACCTCTGTACGGGTGGTTGGTTTTTCAGCGTGGTACTATGGTTATCGGATATGTTAAATTATTCGCGGTACATATAAAGAAAAAAGGGGACTTACTGTTTCGGTGACTTTGTCTCCTGACTGTTTTGCTGACCTTGTCTCTTTGAGATGAACGTCCGATCTCAGTGGGATTCATTGATGTCCTGGATTTCATTTGTGCACAGACTCTAAGTCCAAATGTATTGAAGCGCAACGGGAGCTTCAGAGATTTGCGATTTAAGAACTGTATATACTTATATAAGACGAAACTTTGTATATATATGATTGACAGAATAATGAGGAACAAAATGACTGACGAGTATAACTGAGAAAATAAGAGGCAAAATTAGAGCAAAGAGACAAAATAAGACAGCTAGTCTCGCGGTACCACGGTTTATATATGAGTCCTTTGGTGGTTTTTTGATGGGATATGTTAGGTTGGAAAATCGAAGATTGGGGTTAGTGGGATTTTTCCGCTCTTGGTAGAAAATTTGTTTTCCGAGTTATTACTGGGGAACTAATTCTAAAATTGCTCCGCCCGCATTACAAGTTTTAATCTCTTGAAAACTTATTGGTGACACGTCATCACCTTATCTAAGGGTTTTGGATTTACAGTAACCTATTGGCGGGTTTAGTTTAACCTTCTTCATTTTCGAAGAGAGAGCATCTTACTCATCGTCCGTCCCTTCCGAACGATTTGATTATAATTTACCAGAATTTTCATATTTCCTTTTTTCAATTAACGGTTTCTCTTTTATTAGTAGAACGTGTGTTTTCTCGTCTAGATATTATTTGCTTAAATTTTACGATCAACAATCTAGAAAAAAAAACAAAAATATTAATAGCTACGCTTTGTCATCTTGGATTTATTTTACCAACTTCTTGTTGTTGATCAGGAAGCGCCCTTCAATTTGATTTTACAAGGGAAGTATAGGTTTTTATTTATACAGGATCCCTGATCCGTATTTAAATTTTGTATTTGCTAAATCCCGATCATGTTTAAACAGGATTTTCTCTATTTGATTCGTAATCTTTGTCATAAATTTTATTGCCGTAGCCCAGGCGAATCTGAGTATGTTTTTGCTTATTTTTCCAATAACGCTGGAAAATTTTCTAATAAAACGTTCTTTGAATATTGTCACGATTGCCGATCGGTGACCATTAACGCTCGAGTTTTTGTTCGCGCTTTGCCCTAACATTATTTTGTCGAATGTTCGCGAAACGAAGAAATTGTAGAGTCCACTGGACGTAACAGTTCAAAAAGAAGTTGAGTGCTCTATAGCGGTCGTAGCAATAGCAGTAGATTGGAATTCAGGAATATCTTGCTTTATTATAACGAGCACTAGGCCAATACGTCTTGCTGAGTTTTAGTCATGGAGGGTTCAATCACCAAAGCTCCAATTGAGGTAGCGAAACTGGAGAAACGCTTCTTGAAAGGTGATCAGCCGGATCATCTTGAACAAAAATATTAATTAAGAACAGCTTCAAGCCAAAAAATCATGCATGTCATAGAATATAATAAAAATGTTTGAAAATAAACAGTAATTTATTCAATAAATTAAAAAGAAATTCAAACACATACATATAAAATAACTAACGTTTCGACCCCTCTTAGGTCATTCTCAAAGTTAAAATTTGAATAGAAAAAAAAATGTATCATCTTGATTGCCAATATGATGCCCCAACCTTGCACGGTGATTAATTGATGATTTCTCGAACGCGGCTGGAAACAAATGGAGCCCAAGTCCAACTAGATGACTGCAGCCAAGCGAGAGCGATGGTGGAGATAGTCCACAAATGTACAGTATGAAATTTATGAGTTAGTCATTTTAAAATCTTATAAATGATCTGTTCTATTAAGTATACAACTTTGCTTCCGCCGTTTTCCTAGATGGCTTTAGCGGAAAGTGGTCGTCGAAATAAATAGATCATAGACGTCATTCAATAAACTTGGGAATCTGTCAACATAGCCCCATAGAAACATTAGTCTATTTGTGTCTGCATCATAAAGTTATTCTCGATTGAAAATGTCAGTTTACGAGTCAAATTCTCGTCATTTGCGGGAGGTTTTAATTTTCTGCTTCAATATGAAGAAATCTACGGCTGAGACTCATCGAATGCTCTCAAATACTTATGGTGAGGCCACTATTAGTGAAAGAACGTGTCGTCAGTGGTTTCAAAGCTCCAAGAATGGTGATTTTGACGTTGAAGACCGACATAGCGATGAAAGAGAGAAGGTTTCGAAGATGCAGAATTGGAGGCATTACTTATCAAGACTCGTGTCAAAATCAAGAAGAATTGACATGATCATTGGGAGTGACTCAAAAAGCCATTTCAAAACGATTCAAAGCCATGGGAATGATTCAGAAGCAAGGAAATTGGGTGCCGTACGAGTTGAAGCCGAGAGATGTTGAACGGCGTTTGTTTGCTTGTGAACAGCTACTTGAAAGGCAAAGACGGAAGGAATTTCTGCATCGCATTGTGATTGGAGACGAAAAATGGGTTCATTACGATAATCCCAAGCGCAGAAAATCATGGGGAGTTCCCGGCCATGCTTCCACGTCGACGGCCAAACCGAATATTCACGGCTCCAAGGTCATGCTCTGTATTTGGTGGACCAGCTCGGCGTAGTGTATTATGAGCTGTTAAAACGGACTGAAACAATCACAGGCGATCGGTATCGAACGCAATTGATGCGTTTGAGCCGAGCATTGAAAGACAATCGGCCGCAATACAACGAGAGACACGATAAAGTGATTTTGCAGCATGACAATGCTCGACCCCATGTTGCGAAAGTGGTCAAGACATACTTGGAAACGTTGAAATGGGAAGTCCTACCCCCATCCGCCGTATTCTCCAGACGTTGCTCCCTCTGACTATCACTTGTTTCGATCAATGGCACACGGCCTGGCTGACCAGCACTTCCGGTCTTATGAAGAAGTAAAAAATTGGTTCGATTCGTGGATCGCCTCAAAAGATGACAAGTTTTTTCGACGCGGGATTCGTCCAATAGAAAAGCTCGCCGTGATATGATTGTCTTTTAAAATTTGTAACTTAGCTTCATAGCGTCTCCATTTAGTAATTACATGCAATGGGAGAGATTCGTCTCAATCTAGCCTAAGACGCCAAAGATCCCGTATGATGATTTTCGCAATAATTGTGGCGGGACCAAGTAATTCAAGGGAGTCGAATATTAAATCGGTTCTTCATAATGTGGTTCTTTTAATTGTACGTTGCCAGAGGTAACAAACAGACGATGCTTGAGAATTTAAACGATCGGTGTTGCAGTTCCAAACGAGGCGTCTCAATGTCCACGTTTCGCATTCCTCGTCGCAGGACAATATGAACTTTTTTTCAGCAAGTATAGGTTGATTGTATAGATTGAAGTAGTGATGTGTTGGAGGACCATTTTCGCATTTCAAAGCGACCCTTTAAAAGCAGCTAGGATATTTCAGTCTTGATAGCTAATGCTTTTTGTAAAGTATCCGCGCCAATCACCAGATCATCGACATAGAAGACATTAGCACTGTTTTGGCACCAATGAACCTTTAAGCTGTTTTCCTCCGCTAATTTTCCGAGGAATTGGATTGCTAAGAATGCAGCAGAGGCCGTACCATATGTAACAGTAAGATGCTCGGGGGTTCGAATAGGTTTATTCACAGAGTCGCGCCAAAGAATGTGCTGAAGCGAGGTTTGATCGGAATTGATTAGCATCTGTCGGTACATCTGCTTGATGTGCGCTGTCAGGGCATGCTTAAACGGAATATCATTAATATGAAAGAACATATCGGCTTGGATAGTAGGGCCGACTAGTAGTGCATTTTTAGTTTAAAGGTTGATGACCCACAAGAGCCGTCGAACCCTGAGCTTAGTGGTAGTGCTTGTTTCTTTGTACATCGCATGTGGCAGGTAATAAGTTTTGTTAGTAGATTCCAAAGGACATGTTACCTCGCATATGTCCTAGTTGTATATATTTTTACATGAATTGTTTGTATTCCACGTACATTTTTGGAGAGTTTACATGACGCCTTTTTAGAGGTTTAAAGCGTCGCATGGCTATCTCTTTGGAGTCTCCAAGTTGCATCAGTTTGTCCGGTTTGAAAGGCAATTGAACTACAAAGCGTCCTTCATCGCTGCGCTTTGCAATATCTTTGAATAGACGCCCGCAGGTTTGCTCTTCTGGGGAGGATGTCATCTGATCATCTTCTCAAAATCGGCAGAGGGCTCGATTAAAATTTTCTGTCACAGTCAGGCAATTAACAGCCGAGAGTGAAGCCGTTGTGCTTATGATTGTTGTCGGACCAAATATGATCCACTTTAAGAATGTTTTTTGCAAGGTAGACTGATCGCTAGAAACTCGAATTTGGTCAGCGCATATAAACCTCCAAAATAATTCCGCACCGATTAACATGTCAATTAATAAATATTTTAAACAAGGACTCTCTCTTCTTAAAATAACAAAAAATAACCTAAAAGTGGACTAATGAGAGTCAGCGCGAGCGAAGGTGCGCAATAAATCTTCACAAATAAAATTTGTTACTTCATATGATGTGTTGATCTCATCTTTATTTAAAATATTGACATCTTGAACATTTCGATTCTCTTTGGAATCTTCATCAGCAAATTTCTTAACCAAATGAAACTTCAACAATCGTCCGATGTAGATCACGATCGCAGATTGCCAAAACTGTAGTGTTATCTGTTTTAAATTTATTTATATAAGATATTTGAATTCAACCATTAAAATAACGAGTAACTCACCCACACGATCGCCAAATCTCATCATGAAACCATGGATAATATATTAATATTCACACTAAACTCAAATAACATTTTATAATACAATCGATGTAGCTTTGTTCAAACTTCGTCCATTCTATCTGGAGTGACGAGTATGTTTAATGAAATTTTAAAATTGACATAGGTCGCATTAACGATAAACATTAAGTCATAATAAATATAAAATATAAAGACAGTATATTCTTATTACTTAGCTGATCTTAACCTATCTGACGTATGTAACATATTTAACATATATAATGTTCAGTCATAGGTACAATAAATATACGAACAGTAAATTATTGTTGTAGTTTGAAACGAATTTTTAATACCAAAGTTTAAGCGTCAAAATTAAAATCTGGATTTAGCAGTCAAAATTTTAAACGTGTCAAATTATTATGCTCAACATTATGTAGCAATTTATAATTCACCCTCGTCAAAATTGCAATTAATTAAATATATAGATTAATCAATAACGATAAAAAAATGTGTATATATATATATATATATATAATAAATAATTACAAAAATTAATTAAACAACAGAATGTTACAAATATAAATTAATAATTGAATTTGTGAGTGAAAAAGAAAACTGAAATATACAATTCAAAATTTTAAAAAGGTCGTCTTACTACTTTACACACATTTATGAGATAAATTTATGTATTATTGAAAGTCTTAAACTAAGCATTACGTCATATCATTTAGCATGGATGCATAAGTATGATGTAGTCCATCTATGTCCGATCGTAGATTCAATCCATTTTTCTGCATATGAATATGTACTTTCTCTGATATATTAGTCGCTTATTTAATATTCTTTCCGAATCCAGTATTTTGACGTTCTCCCAATCAAATTCGTGATTGTATTCCAATCTGTGATCCGTGATAACAGATTGACTATTCGTATTCCAAATTCCAATTTATGTGATTGCGATGTTCTGCAATCCTTGTACATAATTTCCTACTTATTTGACCTACATATGTTGCATCGCAATCTTCGCACTCAATTTTGTATACCACATTTTTATTCGAATTCTTTGAGAGAACGTCTTTTTGAACTTTTATAAATTTATTTAATTTATTATTACTGTAAAATACTGGTTTTATGTTTTCGTTCCTACAAATAGTTACAAATTTTTTCGAATTTAACTAATCATATGGTATCAAGAACCATAGAATCCTTTCTAAATTATTATCGTCCCTAGAATTATTCAGTTCAGTCTCCACAGAAATGCGTTTAGAGAATAAATATTTTAATCTTGTGGATATTGTTTCAAAAACAAAATCCACGGGATAATCATTTTTTAATAATGTTTTAATTATTAACCTGATGTTTTTTTGATGATACTTAGGATCTGAAAGTAGTACCGCTCTGTCAATCATACCCATCGCTATGCCTTTTTTATGAGTCATGGGGTGTGCAGATAAATAATTCAAGTATCTACCTAAAAACGTTGGTTTGTGATACCAGTCAAATTCTAAACCATTTCCATTTTTAATAATACTTATGTCTAAAAAATTTATTTTATCACCCCTCATCTCCAACGTAAACTATAGTCTATTATGAAATGAATTGAACTCTGCTACAACAGATTCGATTAAGTCAGAAGGGACTGCTGTAACAATATCTAACATAAAACGGTAAATCTATACCTATAACCTTAAGCGCCTCTGTCTCCAAATCACGCTGTACAAGGTCCGCAATGATAGGAGAGAGAGGCGACCCCATCGGAGTCCCGTGATTTTGTTTATAAATCTCGTCATTAAAGCTAAAAACCGTCGAGTTTAATATTAATGTAATTGCTTTCATAAATTCCTCCCTCGGGATACTTGTCGCTACTTAAAAAAAATCCCATCTTTTATCTACACTTGATATAGCTAATTCTATCGGCACATTTGTAAACAGAGAAACCACATCTAAAGATATTAAGGAGTAATTATCAGGAATCCGCATGTTTCTCAGTTTATTATTATGTGAAAGCTATTCTCAATTTTACTAATTGGTCTCTCCACATTATTGGATATTATGTCATGCAAAAAGGCAGCCAAAGAATATGCCGGACTATCTATAGATGATATAATAATCCTGAATGTATTGCTCGGTTTATGCACTTTCGGCAAAGCATAGCACCTCGGTAGGATTCCATCCAGTGATGCACATTTGGCTCCCCGGCAACACGGAATCCAGCCCCACCACTTTTACCCTCACCTACCGGCATCAAGTCGGCCGCGAGAGCGAGCGAGGCAGCGAGAGGCAGCGCCCATCCTTTTCGCTCTACCAGTAAATCGTAAACACATGCGGGTATTAAAGCGAAAAGGACGGCAACTCTATCTCGCTGTCTCGCTTTCTCTGCTAGTCGCTCGTTACAAGCGACCGAAAACCGAAAATGTACCTTCTCGGCCGCTCGGCGTATTCTTATACAGGGTATCTCGATCTTTTTTGCCAATCACTTTTGTATTCATAGAGCGGATTAAACTGAGTCGAAAAGTCCTC